GAGCAGGGGAGGGGCAGAGGGAGAGGGAGAAGCAGACGCCCCTGCTGAGTGGGGAGCCCGACACAGGGCTGATCCCAGGACCTTGAGACCATGGCCTGAGCAGAAGTCAGATGCTTAACCGACTGAGCCACCCAGGCCCCTTACTATAATTCTTAAAAATAAAGTAAAATGAGAGCAGGGTTGCTGGTTACAAAATTTATGTATAAAATAACTAGACGTATAGATCCTTTATGGACAAGGTTTTAACTTTATTGAAAGACATTAAAGAAGGCTTAAATATATGAAAAGAACACATTGATGAAAGGAATGTTCAGTATATACAGATGTCATTTCTATCGAAAATTGATGAGTTCCATTGAAATCGCACAGGATGTTTTGTGGTAAATGATAAACTCATTTTAAAACTTACGAGGAAATTCAGAGGGTCAGAAATAATGAAGACACTCCTAAAGAAGAATATAAGGTATTACCTGAGAAGATACGAGGAAGCTACAATTAAATCCCTGTTACACTGTACAGAGATAGAAATGAAATATTGAGTAGAAAACAAATGAACTTATTTGTTAAATGATCCTGTGGCAATTGATTATCTATAAAGAATAAAATTGGATTCTTTCCTCATACCTATAAAAAAAAATCAGTTCTAAGTAGATTCAAATTAAATATAAAAGAAAAACTATAAAACTTTAGAAGACAATATGGGAGACTATCTTTATGACCTCAGGGAGGGAATATTTCTTAAGATATAAAAAAACAATATAAAGGAGAAGATTAATAAATTGGGACTACTGTTATGATAAAGATTTCTGTTCTTCAAAAACAAGCCTTAAAGTAGGAGTTAATTGTGAGACATAACCTCTGTAGGGTTAAAATACAAAAAATATAAAGAACTCTTACAGGGCGCCTGGGTGGCTCAGTCAGTTAAGTGTCTGCCTTCAGCTCAGGTCATGATCCAGGTCATGATCTGGAGTCCCTGCTCAGTCGGAAGTCTGCTTCTCCCTCTCCCTCTGCCCCACCCCCAGCTCGGGCTCTCTCCTTCTCTCAAATGAATAAATAAAATCTTTAAGGACGGGGCGCCTGGGTGGCTCAGTTGGTTAAGCGACTGCCTTCGGCTCAGGTCATGATCCTGGAGTCCCGGGATCGAGTCACGCATCGGGCTCCCTGCTCGGTGGGGAGTCTGCTTCTCCCTCTGACCCTCCCCCCTCTCATGTGCTCTCTCTCTTTCTCTCTCATTCTCTCTCTCAAATAAATAAATAAATAAAATCTTTAAAAAAAAAATCTTTAAGAAAAAAAAAAGAACTCTTACAAATCAATAAGAGAAAGGCAACCCGGTGAAACATTACACCAAAGACAGGAATAGACAGGAATAGGCATTTCACAGAGGAAGAAACCCAAATGGCTCATAAACATTGGAAAAGATGCTCAGTCTTTTTGGCGATCAGGGAATCGCAAATTAAAACCACATTACCATTTATCACCCACTAGATTGGCAAATGTTAAAATATCTGACAATAATAAGGGTTAGCCAGAATGTGGAGATTTAGGAAGTCTCTCACACAGCTGATGGAGTGGAAATTAGTGTAACCACTTTGTAAAAACAAGTTGACAGGGCCTAGTAAGATTGAATGTGCATTTCCACTCTGATGTAACTCCTACACATGGCCACCAGGAGACATGGACAAGAAAGTTTATAGCAACATTGTGAATGAGGGAAAAATGGAAACAACCCAAATGTTCATCAGCAGTGGAATGGATATATAAATTATGATGTAATTAAGCAATGAAATACAATCAGTTGGTGAAAAAATGTATGACTTACAGTTACATATATCAATATGGATGATTTGTAACATAATTTTAAGTGAAAACAAGTTGCAGAAAAATATATCTGTCTATATAGACTTTAAACATGTATTAAATCATGTATTATTTATACATAATTGCTAAAATATAAAATCAAAGACATGATTAATACAAAATCCAGGATCTAGGTTACCAGGAGAGGAGCAGGTGCAGTGGGGGAGGGGGCTGTTAGCATAAGCTCCCACAGCAAGCTTCAAGCTTCTGAGCAACTGCCATATTTCTGTTTCTCAGGCAGAAGAGTGGGTAGGTGGGTATTTGTTTTATAACTTTTTAAACTGCATATACATATTTTATACCCTCTGACATAGTTTTTAAAAACTGCAACCTGTAGTATTTTTAAGAGATGGTAGGACATGTTTTGATATTAGGTGATGTGGATTATTAAAAACGCACAAAATTTGAAAATCATCACCTAAGACTGTGTTGGGAGGAGATGTCCTTTTTCAGGGTAAGGCCTCTCCATATGTTTATTAGTTTGAGGGTCCAGGTGACGGGAAAGGTACAGAGACATAAAGTGGTATCTCTGGCAGAGTGACTTAAACGGGGTGTAGAAGGCACCAGTCCCTGCACCTGGGCTGCCTTTCTTATTTCCTCACTTCTGTAAATATTTAGTGACTGACTTGTGTTGTAACTCAAAAAATAAGCTTATGTGGTTTGGTCAGGAAAAAGCAATCTAGAAAATTCATCTAGGCAAATTGTACAAATAACATATTCTGTTATAGGACAGATTCTGGGGCTATAAAGAGGAGTAAGATGTAGATTCTACCTTTTAGGAACGCCAGTTTCAAAGATATAGGCACGTAAATTGAAAAGTGCACCATAACGTAAACACAACAGTGGAAACATGTCCACTGTAAATGGGTAGCTGGGAAAGGTGGTCTCTGACTTATGGAGCCAGGAGGAAAGTCTGCCCAGGGCAAGGCTTGCAAGTAGTCTTGAGAGCTGAGCAGGAAACTTACAGAAAAATAGACTGGCAAAGGGCAACCTCAGAAAGGCCCATGCCAAGGTACAGAGACCTATGAGAACATGGCGTTTGGGCTAATTGAAGCTCATCATTGATGCTAGTGTGAGGAGAGGTGGGAGCCAGATATGAAGGCTTTTGTATGGACTGTGATGGTGTGCATTTAGATCTTATTCTATAAGCGATTATCAGCCTTTGAAAGGTGTCAGGCAGAAAAGTGTGACATGAGGTCTGGGGGCAGTATAGAAAACAGAGGGGAGGATCAAGTCACATTTCAGCACATCGTCCTGCAAAAGGAGGATATGGAGAGCACTTAGAGGGGATGTTTAGAGTTTCTGCTTTGTTTAGCTTTATATGATTTTTAGGAAATTAGATTACATTTAGATTTTGCCCAGAATTTAATGTGTTGAAGGTGTTAGTGGTAGGTGATTTGGAGCCAATATATGAAGTTTCTGGAGAAATTGATATTATTCAGGGTGCCTGGGTGGCTCAGTTGGTTAAGCGACTGCCTTTGGCTCAGATCATGATCCTGGAGTCCAGGATCGAGTCCCGCATTGGGCTCCCTGCTCAGCGGGGAGCCTGCTTTTCCCTTTCACCCCCCACCCCATGTTCTTTCTCTTTTTCTCATTCTCTCTCTCAAATAAATAAATGAAATCTTTAAAAAAAAAAAAAGAAATTGATATTATTCAGTCTGTATTATAAACAAGGTATTAACTTTCCCTACATAGTCTTTTTTTTTTTTTTTTAAAGATTAATTTTAGGGAGAGCGAGCCAGAGAGAGCAGGGGGAGGAGAGGGAGAAGGAGAGTGTCTTACGCAGGCTCCTTGCTGAGCACAGAGCCCGATGTGGGGCCTGATCCCATGACCCTGAGATCATGACCTGAGCCAAAATCAAGAGTCGGATACTTAACTGACTGAGCCACCCAGGCGCCCTGTCTTTCCCTACATAGTCTTTTTTTTTTTAAGATTTTATTTATTTATTTATTTGACAGAAAGAGAGAGACAGCGAGAGAGGGAACACAAGCAGGGGGAGTGGGAGAGGGAGAAGCAGGCTTCCTGCAGAGCAGGGATCCCGATGCAGGGCTTGCTCCTAGGACCCTGGGATCATGACCTGAGCCAAAGACAGACACTTAACGGCTGAGCCACCCAGGCGCCCCTCCCTTAAAGGCAAAGAGAGTTTTGCTTATTTTGTGTTAAATACATGCAAGCATATAAAAGTTAAGTGGAGATGTGGTATTGATAAGGCACACAGCTGCAAACAAATTCTATTTTTCAGTGGTACATACGGTAATACACTGCAGAGTGAGTAGAATGAAATATTTACACCTTTTTGCAGTTAATATCCTTCTAAGGAAATCTCAACAACTGTGTTATTTAAAGGAAATTGGGTGGGCAACAATATCAGTATATGAAGAGCCTCCTTTATGTATGGGTTTCCGATGTGAATGTTCTGAATAACTTAATTGTGGCATGTTGTTTACTTTTGTGCATATTTACTATTAAATCTTAGACTCACTGGTCTTTGGATTTGGTGTATATTGTTCTACCTTACAGAGAAATGTATTAGTATGCCAACTTATTCTTGTACCTTCAGCATATCTGAATTTATAGTCACGGGTCTGATGCTGCCTGTGAATATGAGGGCACTCTTCTGTGTCTGAATACATAGCCAGACCCTTAGCATCAAATGTTCTGCCTCACGTTTATTTTGGGAATAATCTCTTAATAGGCACGTTTTGGGATGTGACTTAGCAGCCAATTTGCTAACATTCAAAAGCCACGAGCTCTCAGCATTATCTTAGCCTTTTAGTATTTTAGTCCAGCAAAAATTTCTGACTCTGATTGGGAAATTAACTATAACATCTTACCAAAAATGATCCAGAAGCATCAAAAGAGAGCGTTCATGCAAAGGGCACAGAGAGAAGTTCAAAAGGAAAGTTAACATTAACTTAAGAGTGCATAGTAGAAATGAGGGAGTAAGCATAGAAATGAAGGACCACAAGTGACCTTGGAATAACTGTAGGTTCCTTTCTATAAGGCAAATAATGTTGATTATAATGCATCTTAGCTTTTATTTCGAAAGATATTTTCTGCAGTTCTTGTCACCAAGTTTTTTTGAAATTCTTCTTCGTTCTTTTAAGATTGAATTTATTTCCTTATTTTCTACTTTGACACAGAAATCCCCTGCAAAGAAGCTGAGCCATGCAATTAGTAAATCTCTGGGGTGCGTACCCACCAGAGAACCCCCGCATCCTGTTTTTCCTGAGCAACCAGAGAAACCACTTGACCTTGCAAATATAGTGTAAGTATACACCGGAATTTGGATGTGGATTATACTGAAATGGAGACCTTGCTGATTTCTTTTGGATCAAAGCCAACTTCACCTAACATGAACATTTAACCTTCTGGTTTTTACTTTACTTTTGGGGAACTTAGGACTTCAAGATTTCATTTCTTTAAGTCACCATAAGTATTTATATGGAAGCCTAGCTCCTGAGCCCTGAAGTAATATAATGTAATATATTATAATAATAATGTAATAAAAGTAAAGCCTCAGTAATATAATGATCTCAAACAGAAACATTAATTAATATATTGAAGAGTAATTATGAACTGGTTTTAGCAAGGTTGCCTTTTTTTGTTTGTTCTTCCGTAAATCAGTGGTAGAGATCATTTTTTCTCTGCAGCAATAATGCCTATAGTTATTTTTTTTATGTTAGTTCAGGCAACATAGAAATGAAAATCAACTTCATTTGCTTCTTTGTATTGAGAGAAAATTAGGAAAGATAAGGTTGTATTCTATAAATAAAACTAGTGTTTTATTTTTACTTTCTTTGAATATTCATGCTAAATGAGAGAAAGCCAGACAGGAACAAAAAAGAGAAGTAGACAAAGAGGAAGAGTAAGGAGGAGGAGAAACAACGAAGCGTTAAGATTCAGCCTCTAAACTGGATTCTTAACTCTGAATTAAATGGTGTTGTTACGTGTCCTCCTGGATAAAGTAGTAGGGTTTTTTGTTTTGTTTTGTTTTGGGGAGAGGGGCAAGGGCAGAGGAAGAGAGAGAAAGAGAATCTTAAGCAGGCTTCATGTCCAGCAAGGAGCCTAACACAGGACTCAGTCTCACAACCCTGAGATCATGACCTGAGCTGAAATCAAGAGTCAGATGCTTAACCAACTGAGCCACGCAGGCACCCCAAAGTCAGTAGGTTTTTGATCATTAGTCTTTATTGGGTGTTGACAAGTTTTTCTGTTGGAGCAGACATCTATTTTCTTTTACCTCCGTATAAAACACTTAGGGTTCTTGATCTTTTATTTTCTTTCTCATTCAATAATTTGAAAGACTTTTATTAAAATAATGCATACATATAAATTAGAAATTTAATAATACAGAAAAATATAATAAAATACAGCACATCCTCCGACACTTCCTTGCCTTGTGCTTTGTCTAGGTTTTCGATCTGTGAGATGTCTTTGCATTTGAGTAGTAACTTGTTTCAGAGCCATTTATTGGATGATCTGTCATTCCCCCACTGACCTACAGTGCCACGGTCGTCATAAATGAAGTGTCCAGATGTGCGTGGTCTGGTTCTGGGCTCTTCTATTCCTGTGGTCAAATTGTCTATCCTTATGCCAACATCATACTATTTTAGTTACTATAAGGGATTAAGTAATGTTTTTAGTAGGAGTGTCTTGTCTATTCTTTGCCTTTTGCTCTTTCATATAAATTTTAGAATCAGCTTATTGAGTCCCTCATAAAATTTTGTTTGGATTTTGATCAGAGATTCGTTGGATCTAAAGATCACATTGGGGAGAATTGACATCTTTACAGTATTAAGTCTTCCATGTCATGAATGAGCTGTGTCTTTCTATTTATTTAAATATCACTTTGTGCCTTTCAGTAAAGCTTTATAATTTTCCCTAGAAAGATATTATATATGTTAGATTAATTCTTCCATACTTTTAAAGATTCTTCTGTACAATTTGTTATTGCTCTTGCAAATGGTGCCTTTTTTTCCCTACAGTTTTTTTGAGATATAATTTACATGCGATAAAATGCACCCACTTCAAATGTACAATTTAGTGAGTTTTGGCAAATGTATACTGTCATGCAAATGGTATTTTCATTGAGTTATGTTTTTCAACAGTGTATTGCTGGTATGTGGAAATGCAAATAATCCACTATCTAGTCATCTTGCCTGATGTGCTCATTAATTCTAGTAATTTGTACTGAGATGTTTTTGGATTTCTTATAAATAATTGTATCACTTGCAAATAATGATAGTTTTGTTTTTTCCCTCCCAGTCCTATACTTTTAGATATTAATCATACCTTTTTTTTTTTTTTTTTTGGTCTTCGTACTGGCTGAACCTCCAGTGCAATATTGAATAGAAATAGTTTGGTAGGCATTCTTCTGTTATTGCTAATCCCAGAGAGACAGCTTTCAGCGTTCATTTAGTGTGTTATTTGATGTAGGTTTTATAGAAACTGTTGATCAGGTAAAAGAGCTTCCTTTGTATGCCTTGTTTGCTAAGAGTGCTTTTTTTGGGTCATGAATGGATGTGGAATTTTATCAGACTTTTCTCCCTTGACATGATCATGGGAGTCTCTTTATTCTATTAATGTAGTGAATTATATGAATTTTTTTTAAACAGCCATACATTCCTGGAATAAACATAAGTTGACTCTCTTTTTAATACACTGCTAGTTTTCATTTGCTAATGTTTTGCCTAGATTTTGCCTATGTTTAAAAGTTAAATTGTCCTGTAATTTCCCTTGTTTGTTTGTTTTTTTATTTTGTTTTTAGGACAAAGTCTGCCCAGTTTGCTATCTTCAAAAAGTTGAGGAGAATTCTCTCTTTTTATATTTTTTGGAAAGAACTTATTTAAAATTGGAATTATTTGCTCCTTCAATTTTTGGTGAAATTCACCAATGACGTTATCTCTGCCAAAAGCCTTCTTTGTGGGAAAATTTTGAACTGTGAATTCTATTTTTAAAAACAATTATAAGACTTCGTTTTTATTTCTTTATGAGTCACTTTAGAACATTTTATATTTGTCAGAATTTGTCAGTTTCATTTGAATTTTCAAAGTTATTGGCACAAAGTTCGTAATGTTTGTCTATGGTATGTGTGCTAATGTCCCTTTTAAATTCCTACTCTCGTGTATTTATCATTTTTCTTTCTCTTTGGTTTTTCCTTGAACACATCTTGCCATAGGTTTGTCCAGTCTATTGGACTTTAAGAGGACGAACTTTTGGTTTTGATGATTCTCCTACTGTATGCATTGTATTTTTGAATATTATTTGTGTCCAACCTTATCTTATTTCTTTTGTTACACTTTCTTTGGGTTTATCTTGCTACTCTCTTTCTAACTTCCTTAAAGATATGATTAGCTTACTCATTTCAGGTCTTTTCCCCCTAATTAATGCTATGAATTTCTCTAAGTTCTCTCTGAGTAGTGTCCAAGTTTTCTTATGTACTTTTTTGTTTTTCTAAATATTTTCAAAGTTGTGATATGAATTCTTCTTTAAGAATACTATACTTTCTTTTTTCTTCTTGTTTTTTTAATTTTCTTTTCTTTTTTTTTTTTTTAAGCAATCTCTACATCAGCATGGAGCTTGAACTCACAACCCTAAGATCAAGAGTTGCACACTCTTATCAGCTAAGCCAGCCAGGCACCAAGCAGCATACTTTCTTAATATCCAAACATATGAGGGTTGTTTAGTTGCCTTTTTGTTATTAATTTTTAGTTTAATTTCATTTTGGTCTAATAAGTGGTCTATACTATTCAATTCTTTCAAATTTGTTTTGACATGCTTATTATATGTAGTATATGATCCAGTTTTTATTATGTTCCTAGTAAGCATGAAAATAATGTTCATTCTATGCTTGTTTGGTTTAGAGTTCATAGTGAATGAATGTATGTCAGCTAGGTCAAGTTTGTTAATCCTGTTGCTCTTATCTTCAAAACTATACATATTTCACTAGGAAATTGAAAATTTGTTCTTATCTAGTGAGTCTCTTTATTCCTAATAATTCTGTTTGTTCTCAAGTCTATTTTATTCGCTAAACATCTTTTAGTGTCTTTTGCTTGTATGTGCCTAGTGGAACTTTCCCCATCCTTATACTTTTAACTTTTCTGTATCCTTAAGTGTTCAGTATGCTTCTTGTAAATTGTAAGCTGGGTTTTAAAAATCTAGTCTGACAACTTGTCTTAACTGGCGAGTTTTGTCCATTTAAATGTATTATTATAATGTTGTTATTATAATTAGTCATAAGTAAAATTGGCTTTCATTATTATAGTTACAAAAGTATTACTACTGTAATAATTGAACTTTTTTCTACTATCTTACTTTGTGCTATTTATAATATTTTTAAAATTCCCCCTTTATTTGCATACCCCACTCTGGTCACCCTTTCCTCAGGGGTAATCATTCTGATATGCTCATTGTATATCTTTTTACCAGTATATATTCTTGAAAACTAGGTTGTGTTTTGTACATTCTTTTAAAAAATGTATGTCAGGTGGCACTATGCAGATTTTACCTGTCCGTTCTCCCTACATAGCTGCCTTCAGATCTCTGCCTCCACATAAAATGCTGCAGTAAACAGATGTTTCCCCGGTGGACTGGGTAAGAATTTCTTTAAACTGAGGGTATAGTTGTTGGTCAAAAGTTATGTATATCCCAACCAGAGGAAGTGTGTTGGGGAATCCGGTATTTTAGTACAGACCTGCAGTTAATCTCTCCCGTCTGAGTTCAGGCCTCATTCAGCTGCATCTCCCTGCTGTGGCTGAATTCAGAGACTTTCTGGTCAGTTTCACTAGCGAGTAACCTCTGGTTTTTCACCAGGCCTAGAAAAGAGGAGCCTTTGGCTGTGTGGTTTTGGGTAGTGGACTGAAAGAGATAGGAGGTGTTCTGCTTTTTTAGGTGGACTTTCAACCAATCCTCTTATTTTTATTTTTTATTTTTTATTTTTTTTATTTTATTTTATTTTTTTTTAAAGATTTTATTTATTTATTTGACAGAGAGAGACACAGCGAGAGAGGGAACACAAGCAGGGGGAGTGGGAGAGGGAGAAGCAGGCTCCCCGCAGAGCAGGGAGCCCGATGCGGGACTCGATCCCGGGACCCCGGGATCATGACCTGAGCCGAAGGCAGTCGCTTAACCAACTGAGCCACCCAGGCGCCCAATCCTCTTATTTTTAATGCAGCCCCTCTCCCCTCTTTCCGAGGCACCAGGCAGCTCTAATTACTGAGCATTCCTGATCTTGTGGCTTCATTTCCCTTGTTGCAGGAGGACTTG